GTCGCTGTCGTCGCTACTACCATTTTTCTAAAATGCAGCACCATTCGCCGCTCTAATTATAGCTGGACAGTCAATGAACGTTATTGGGGCACAAAGGCCGCTGCGCGCTGCGCCCCAGGGGCTTTGGCCCGCCACCCTGTGCAGGCTGCAGTCCGGCGGCCGCGTGATTCGCAACATGTATGGGCTGTTCAGACGTGAATGAATAAATAATCTACATTTACTGAAAAGTGCTTTTAAAACATAGCAACCAATCAAATTCGACTATGAGGTACCATGTCAAGATGGCGTCGGCACTTGAATTGCGATGGGCTGATTTGTAACCACCACGGTGTAATTCACATCAACAATCACCACCAAGACAAGGGCGCGTACTACTGACGGGTATCGATTAGCATGGCGCGAGGCGCGTCGCGTTTCCTCCACTGATTTGTGATAATAAGTTGATGTTGCTTGGCACCCTTCCGCCCGATTCTGATCTTCGCCGTGTCGCTTTTGGCAGCTCGCCCCCACGCCTGCCTGGCCTGTTGGGCCTGGTATAGCGCCGCGTAGCAGCCGCACCTGGGAGGACAATACTGGGCGCCCGTCTCGGGCCCGGCTTTGTTCTGCCCGTCCCCGTCCATCAGATCCACACTGACCCCCGCGCCCCCGCGCCCCCGCGCTCCCCACGCGCCACCCCCTCCCTGTGGCCGTGGTCACTCGTCTCGCCCCTTCTATACTCATTCCTCCACTGCCGACCGCCAGCGCCAGCCGGCGCCCCCGCCCTTCTGCCAAGGGCCTCCACGACAAGACCAGTGATGGCGGACATCAGGTGCACTCATGAACTACGTTCATAAGGGGGTTCATTCAAGATACTCTTTCGAAAATATACGATTTTCCAACATTGTTAAACCTAGATAGTAGGGGTGGAAATAAACAGGGGTGCTCCGTCAGCCCCGTTCTTTCTTCCGATCATACTGTACCGGATGCAGGCGCGCGTGAAGGCTTGCCTATCGTCGCCCACCAAGGCGCCTTACGGCACCGTGCGAGTATGCAACCCATCCGCACGCCTACATCCGGTACAGTATTACCAGAAAAAAGAACGGAGCCATGTCGGACCACCTACTTTGCTATCGTTAGCGTTTAAGTTTTGAGTTTGTTTGTTGTTTTTTTTTTTGCGTCTTGTTTTCCCTCCTCTTGTTTGGCCCTGATGTGCAATATGCCCGTGCCCGGCAGGGTGGCTACCGTGCTGCTGCTCTGGGTGGCGGTGGCGGTGGGCGCGGTGCCGCGCTCCATGCTGCCCAGAAGGCCGGGCCTGTGCGTGGACGCCCGCTTCCTCGTGGACCTGCTGCGCGCCGACGAGAGCGACAGCGTAGTGCGCGCGGACAGCCAGCACCGCAAGGCGCGACGGACCGTCCTGGTGTCCTTCTCGACCTTCGTCGACTGGGACGTGCTCTGCTCCGGCGCGGCGCGCAGGCTGCACATGGAGGCGCACTACTCGCTGCAGATCCAGGCCGTGGGCTACAACCTCAAACGCAACGTCAAGGTCCGAGGCCGCAGAGCAACGGTCGTATGGTTGGCTCTGTTCTGTTCGCTTCCTAGACCGACGCCTTTGACGGCGACCCTTTCTGTCTCAGGTCGCGCCGCACACCGTCGACATCGTCGTGTTCTTGTTGGGCTCCAATGGCGAGGATCTCGAGTACGAGGCCTCACACCACACGACCCAGGTGCTCAAGTACTTCGGCCGCCTCACCCCCATCCTTGCCGCCGTGGTGGGAGGGAGCTCCGAAGACGTCGATATTGTCCTCAACGAAATGTACAGCAGGCGGTGGTGGCGGGTGTCCACGGCGCTGCAGCAGCACGCACACGAGGTGCGCGGTGCCGGATGGCCCCGAGTCGTACCCCGAGTACATAGAATGTCCCCCTCCGGTCCAGTTGCCGTTGCCTGAACCCGACCTCTTCGCCTTACAGTCGGCCGTGACCGGCCCCGGCATGGACGAGGTGCCCGTGTTCTCGAGGCTCCCGCTGTACGAGCCCGGTCGGCGCTGTGGGAGCCGTATGAGCGACACCGCCCTGGTGGTCACCTGGTCGCCGGTGGCGAGCGGCAAGGCCAAGAACGTGCTTCTCTCAGATGGTCTGTTTCCACCAAACCCCGAGCAGTTTGATCTCCGCGGCTGCCTCGTGCTCGTGGCGCCGCACGAGGCTCCGCCTTACATCTTCATGAAGACGGTGGAGGCGGGGGTCACCGATAATAATCATCCTCTCGGCCTGGATGTGGACTTGGCTGAGTACTTCTCGAAGTCCAAAAACGCCACGGTCAAGTTTTTACCCGTATCGAGTCACCCCGTCAGCCCGTGGAACACCAAGTGGGAGCAGTCAGTGGAGGTAAGCGGGGGAGTCGACGGGTGGCGGCGCTGGACGCTGGACGTCGCACAACTGCAGTTGAAAACACACTCAGTGGTACGGTTTGTTGTGCAGGAGAATTCGTCAGAGATGCAGGCCGCCAGCAGAGCCGAAATGGTGGTGAACTCATCACAGATGGACCCGACGAGAATGCTGGCCGCCGGCAGAGTCGACATGGTGGTGGGCGGGCTGTTCCCCACGCCAGAGCGCTACGACTCGTTCACGCTCAGCGCCATGTACACCACCGACGCGCTGCAGTGTTATATGGCGCGAGAGCACCTCCTGCCCCTCTGGCAGTACCCCATCGCCGTGCTTTCCTACAAGGCCTGGAGTCTGCTGTTGGTCGCCATGGTGTGCCTCGGTATGGTGCTGTTGCGGCCAGAGCGCGGCCCGTCGGGTGCTCGGGTGCGACGACAAGGTGCAGGCGAATATAAGACTTTTCCTTTCGTGTTGCAGTGATCATGCTGACGTGGCTGAACAGGCAGGGCGTCATGACCAACGCCATCCTGCTGTGGGGCGTGCTGCTGGAGGGCCGCTCCATGCCCACCTGGATGTCGCCGCGCACCTCGCTGCTCACCTTCGTCTGGATCATCTTCTCGATGCACTTCACGGCGGGCTACCGCGCCTCGCTCGCCATGGCCAACACCAAGCCCATCACCCGCCCGGGGCTGTCCGAGCTCCCGGAGGTCAAGGAGCAAGTGAGGCGGGTCGGCGTCATCAACGGGATCATGGTCCCCTACCTGGAGCAGGACGCCTCGCTGTCAGAGCTGCTGCAGCGCGTGGTCATCTGCAACACCACGTGGAACTGCTCGCAGATGGTGCGGGAGCAGCCCGAGGACACGGCCCTCATCATGACGAGCCGCTCCCTGAAGTTTCTGCTGCCGACGTACTTCGTGGACAGCAGAGGCCGCAAGATTCTCCAGTCGCTCAACCAGGCCCTGTACACGTTCCACGTGAGCACCATGGTGAACAAGGGCTCCGCCATCCAGCTGGCCTTCGACGATGCCGTGTACCGGGCCCAAGAGTCGGGGCTGATATCTGCCTGGATGTCGCACTTGCAGACGGCCTCGAACCGGAATCTCGAGAAAAGGTGGCGGGCCAACCTTGGTGGGCCAAGGGCACTGACGCCGACGCAGGTCGTGGGGCCCTTCTCTGCGCTGGCCGCCGGGCTGTTTGTGGCGGGCTGCGTGTTCGTCTTCGAGGTGGTCGGCTATCAGGGTATGAAGGTGGCGGGAATCGAGACGGACTCGCCGCCAGACCCGGAGGACGACGGCGTGCCCAGGGACGTGAGCGTGGACGCCCCGCTGCAGGCCATCAAGGCTCAGGTGGAGGCCGAAGAGCAGGCCGTCGCCGATGCCCAGCTAGCCGAGTCTGCCGAGGTGGTCCGGGTATCCTGCATCCCCGCCACATTGCTTGCCGACGGCACCGCCATCCTGGGAGAGGGCGAGAGGCGGTACGAGCGCGCCACTCGCCTCGAGGCGGAGGTCATGGCCATGTCGGACCAGCTCCTCGACGCCGCCCTGGACGAGGACTCTGCTGCTGGTGGCGAGCACGGCGCCGCCACTCTGCTCTCTGACGGCACGGTGCTGCTCGGCGAGGCCATGCCCACCATGACCATGCCGGGCGCCGCCACCCTCCTCCCGGACGGCACGGTGCTGCTCGGCGACGCCGTCAATAAAGAGGACGCGGGACCCGGCGATCCCGACCAGAACTTTGGCGAGTTGGTGGTTTCGGAAGGAGGACATGAACTGTCCTCCCTCAAAGACGCCCTCGCGGCACAAACTGATCCAGAGACACCGGCGGCCGTCAGCGAGACACACCTAGGTGGCATGCTCGTCCAAGACCACGGCGGAGTACTGCGGCGCAACGCTCCTCCGAGCAAGTACAGCGCCCTGTGGACGTCCGTCGTGCTGCCCGCCGCCATCGCCGCCCTCCGCGGGGAGGGCGGCGTCGAGTCCAGCGGGGCGCCAAGACGACTCTCCGACGGCGACGGCGAAGGCGACGGTGAAGGCGATGGTGAAGGCGACGGCGAAGGCGGAGGCGACGGAGACGGAGACGGCGACGGCGACGGCGACGGAGAACAGAGCGACGCGGAGCCGGGGCGGGGCTCAAACTGATCATCAGCAGGGAGAAGTAGAGAAGTACTCGGGGGCGGTGTTCGGTACCCGAAGCGAGGCAGGGGTGCGCAGGGGAGGAGCCGAGCTAGAGCCAGTCATTAGTCTTTCCCATTAGGGGCTCGACGGCGACGTGAGAGGCTGCTGGCGATCTCCCCGCCCCTCGGCCGGCTGGCCCAACAGGCCACAGGCCCCAGGAGGGATCCGATATGGCAAGGGTCGATATAGCAGTCTATCGGTGCTATCTCTCAAGAGATGAGGCGAGGACCCCTGTCATCGGGTCCGTGGTGCAGCTTCCTACCGGACAAGCGCCCCGCCCAGCCGGAGCCACCACCGTTTCCAGGAATTGTACCAACAGCAACGAAATGAAACTCTGCCAAAATATCGGTGGTGCATTTTTATTTCCGTTGCAGACTTACATGGATAAAGGAACAGGCAGGCCTGTTTAAAAACGGGGACAGGGTTGGAAACAAATTCTAAGGACAAAACGAATGGCTTGATTTCTACCAATGTCTTTTTAGATATTCTCTTTTATTTTTATCACCAGGGGAATTCTCTTCTTTTTTTCTTTCGTCGCCATGCGAAACGCTATCGTACGAAAATAGAGAGAAAAGACGGCAGAAACTCGACGACGACTGCTCGGCTTCGTCTTACATGGAACCTTTTTTTTTTTCGTTCGCCCGGCACAATTGGGCGTTATTCTGGAGATGGCGCCGTGCATCGAGGCGTCTTCTTCCTCAATAGTTATTGTGGAGCCCGGCCTGCTTTGCGGGGGGTGGCGGCGGCGGGGGTGGCGCGCGGGCACAAAAAGTAAGAGATGCGTGCATGTGCGTGAGTGGGTGCGCGCGCGCGCGCGTGTGTGTGCATCCTATACATTTGCATGTTGAATGCACAACATGTCATAACAGCATCACAAGCGCCGATAGTAGTGTGTCGCCGGGCACAATATTTTGGTCGTGTGGTGGAGGCGGGCACTCTCATTCTCCTGGAAGCTGCGCTGCGCAGAGTGCCAGTGTCCCCTGTCCACTATATTCTTACCCTTGTCCAGCTTTGCCCTCCGATGGACGCAACCCGAAGCTGTGTCAGCGTCGTGCGGGGGGCGGGCGCGGCGCGGCTCTCCGAACGGAACACAACACTCCCCCTCCCCTTTTGCTTTCTCATTTATTGCCTCCATGCGACCCGTTCGACGGCCACCTCTCCGAATCGCGCCGATCGAGCCGAAGTGCGTTGTGATTCGCTCATTAGAGGCGGATAGCATCGTCCTCACCCTTTCTGCCGGGCCGTCGAGGGTCCCCCGGACTTTGGGGTTGGCCCCCTGGGGCACGGAGTACCCTTATCACGCAACTGGTAGGCCGCGCACGGCGGGCCGAACCTTACGAAAACTACAATCTCTCATCATCATCCCTTTTTAATATTTTTTCTCATGGAGTGGATTTGCATTTCCTCGGGCGGTGCCGACAGGCTAAGGCCCCGGGCCCCGGGCCCTCATGAGGGCTCAGGACCAGGTCCTGTTCGGGGGCCTCGGGCACAGGTAGGTCGGGGGATAGAGCCCCAGTGGGGCCCGCCCTCCCGGCGGCAGGGGGCGCGCAGGAGGCCCTCAGGTGGCCCCCGCAGGACGCCCTGCTCACCTCTGAGGGAGGGGGAGGAGGGCGAAAAGGGACTATGCGAACCCTTATCTGCGGGCCATCTAGACAACATCAATCACCGGCGCGGAGGGCCCACAGAACAGGAAACCTCGTCAGTCCCTCATCTGCAGCCGCCCCAGCAGCAGCATCATAAAGCCCGGCACAACCCCTTGCCGGAGCTGGACGCCGCCTCCAGTTTCCAGAGGCCGACGCATGATTCACCTTGATGGAACACACCGGGCAATTAAAATTCAGCGAGGATTATTTTTCGGGGCTTTAGCCGAGCCACGCTCCTGAGAGGATCAGCGCCCTCTGGTACGACCGGATCTCTCCCACATACGCCCTTTCCCCCCCTCCCTCCGTCTCCTAGACTCACAAAGGCGTCTCTATTTAGGGCCTCTGTTGGTGCGCGCCATGAGCGAGTGCTGTCCTCAATCACCGAGAGTCTTTGGCGCCCGCCAGCGGAGCAGAGCCAGAGCAGTTAGGAAACCCTGCAACCCCGCGACGGCCGCCGCGTCAACGACGACTCGATTTCGGGAAATTTGAGGCTGACGAAGGACGCGCGCGCCGCGCCGCGCGGTCGGAAATGGGAGAGCGACATGTCTAAATCGGGGCAGTTCTGTTGGTTTTTCTTTCCCTCTCCCCTGGCTGGGGGGGCAAGGGGGGGGGGGCTGATGAGCGCGGCGCGGCGTGCCGCGAAAGTGGTTACAGGCGTGGCGGGGCGTGGCGTGGCGGGGCGGTATGGCGGTGGTGTCGGCAGAGGCGCGTCACTCAGCCCCAAGTAATTGCTCGCAGATGCAATATGCGCGGCCCGGTGGCCCGCGGCCCCGCCGCAGCCCCTGCACCGCCACCAAGCCCACCACCAAGCTCACCGAACCCTTGCGACAGCGCTCCCCTGGGGGTTATGGTAGCAGGAGAGGATCGAGTCTGCTCTGCGGAGCCGCCTCATCCGGATCTGTGTGCTCTCCGGGCGCCGGACCGGGCCGGGGGGCAGGACTCGCCCCTTCTCGGCGGAAGAGCCGCGCACGGCGGACCGGACCGGCCCCGGGCCGCAGGGATGGTCTGGACCAGGAAGGGGTTTTGCGTTGGGGGATGAAACATCCGGGCAGCGCAGGACCCGTTCCGGTCACCGCCGGGGCCTCGACGGCCCGGATGCAGCAGCAGAACGAAATCAACTTCAAAACCTATTTCCGGCTCAGGAGCACCGGTCTGGTCCGCGTGGCGCCGCCCGGCCCCGCCCGGACCAGCCCCCCACCGCGAGGGTGGAATGTGTTACGCCGGAGTGATGTCGCCCAGATATCCCACTCCCACCCCACCCCGGTCGCTACACTTCGTTGTCGTTGCCGCTGTGCCTCCTCCTGCACCCGTTCGCGCGTTTGCGCGCGCGCAGGCTTTTCTAAACGACGTTAACGCGTCACAGATTCACGCAATTTCCTCCCCCAGCGTCATTACCATGGCACCCCATTTCCACCCCTCCTCAGCCCCCTCCCACTTCCCCCTCCACCGAGCCTCGCACCTGATTCCTCTTTTCCCGCCAGGCTTATTACTGATTACTGTAGTGCACCCCGCCACACCCCGCTCGGCCTCATCACGGCACTGCTTCACTAGAGAATTATTTTTATGTCTGCCCCTCCCCTTCTCCAGCTGTAAAGGAAGTAAAAGCAAGGCTCCGTCCGACCGAATAAGAGATTTGTAGCTGTAGTGCCCCCTTTAAATCAAGCAGGATAATTAAGCCTGAAACTCGGTTAAATTTTAGCAGTAAATCATTGCTACCTTGAAACAGGGCGAACCCAGTGTGGATGTGGAACTTCTTCAGTCCATTGGCTCGCCAAAACATGGTGTTCCTTTGCCTACCCGCAACACTTCAGCGCACAGAAGCACGCGGTACATGATACTCGACAAAGGAATGGCAAAACAATTTCGTCATTTCAGATGGCTGCATATTCCACTCAACGAGCTCCCTTTCTCCTGTTGGAGCCCCCCGTGAGTGAGCGTTGTGTTTTGTGGGCTTGTGTGTGCCGAGCGCGCTGTACGCGCGATAAACTGTCCAAATTGGACATCCTCTGCTGTGAGCCAGGTCCTCCCACACCAAGTACCCCCGCCGGGCAGAAAAGGGGGGATGGGGGAGGGGCAGCAGCACGGTGGCCCCCGCAGATTGTCACTTCCTGTTCACCATGATGCCTCATCACGTACGGGGGCCCCCGCGGCCCTTTGCGTCACTTCGCGGCTCGCGGGCAGTGAGAGTGAGCCGGCGGGTAGTGACGATGCACTCCTATAGCTCCTCATGATGCACGCCCTTCTTCTGGTCGCCCATCATTGATCACCGCGACGCATTGGAGGAGCCTGACTTGGCAGCTACTCCCTCTTGCCCTCCCTCCCCTCCCCAACGCCACCCTTGTGGGCCACCCTGCTGCCACCCTTGCGGGCCGGAGCTACATGACGTCACGGCCGCTCTCGTGCCGGATCCCGGAAGAGGGCCAGGGCCCGGAAATGACGGAAGCGAGGGAGGGAAA